CCTCTGCCAAAAAAAAAAGAGGGAGAGATCAAAGTGCTACAAAAGTTTGGGGCTTGGCCTTAGCTCCGGGGAGGGGTGCCAGCAGCACACAACTTGCAGACATTCGAGAAAGGCTTGGAGAGGGGGAACTTGGGTAGTTACCTGAATTAGGGTCCCTTTTTTGGGTACCCATTATAAGGCGGCACCCCTTCAAAACGGGATCCCAAGAAGTGACCCTAATTTAGAGGAGTACCCACTTATCAACCGGCTACCTATATCCTCTTCGCAGGCTTCGGAGGTTTAGGGTTTAGGGTTTAGGGTTTAGGGTTTAGGGTTTAGGGTTTAGGGTTTAGGGTTTAGGATTTAGGGTTTAGGGCTTAGGGCTTAGGGCTCAGGGCCCCGGATGCCTTCTTCAGGACAGCATTGACGAGAACCCGATGCTCAGCATACAGGAGCCCGTGGCTGCAACTAGAGGGGCTCTGAGCCCTAAGCCCTAAGCCCTAAGCCCTAAACCCTAAACCCTAAACCCTAAACCCTAAGCCCTAAGCCCTAAACCCTAAACCCTAAACCCTAAACCTCCTCCCCTGGCTCTTAGTACTTGAAGGTTCGTGGTACTTAATCACCCAAGTATAACTGTATCCAGAACCCGCTTATAAGCCCCTTAAGCACCCTGATAGGGTTATCCTTGGGTTAGAAGTGCAATTGCTATAGTAGGGAACGAGGGGAATTAGGGCCCGATATATACCCCTTAAGGGATTATAGACCTCATTCCCTCATCCCGACGCGCTTCCCGAGCGAGCATCTTGTCGTTTGTAATTAGGGCTGGTCTAAGATTGCGGGTCTTTTCTGGGTCTCCTTGACGGAGCACTTGATTTCCGATTCCTTAGGGCACAAAAACACACACACACACACACACACACACACACACACACACACACACACACACACACACACACACACACACACACACACACACACACACACACACACACACACACACACACACACACACACACACACACACACACACACACACACGAACACACACACACACACACCCACGAACGAACGAACGAACGAACGAACGAACGAACGAACGAACGAACACACACACACACACACGAACGAACACACACACACACACTACACATACTAACACACACACACACCCACACAACACACAAACACACACACACACACACACGACACACACCACACCACACACACAGACACACCACCCACCAGAGCCCACACATCACACCCAAGACACCGACCACAGACAGCCACGCACAACACCAAGACACACACACTACACACACACTACACACACACACTACACACACACACTACACACACACTACACACACACTACACACACACACACTACACACTACACACTACACACTACACACTACACACTACACACTACACACTACACACTACACACTACACACTACACACTAGACACTACACACTACACACAACACACAACACACAACACACAACACACAACACACAACACACTACACACTACACACAACACACACCACACACCACACACACACACACACACACACACACACACACACACACACACACACACACACACACCCACTACACACACACACACCCAAACACACACACCCAAACACACACACCCAAACACACACGCCCAAACACACACACACCACACACACACACACACCACACACACACCTACTAACTACAAACAACCAAAACACCCGTCCACACACACTACACACACACACACACACTACACACACACTACACACACACACTACACACACACTACACACACACTACACACACACACACACTACACACACACTACACACACACACACACTACACACACACTACACACACACTACACACACACTACACACACACACTTGAGAGGGTGCATTGTTTGATGGCACATTCTTCACAATTACATCACAGAAGAAAAGCAAACATCAACGGTAACTCTTCATATGACACAGGCCCTCAAGCTGCCAGCTCCTGGCCCATGAGCAGCACAACACGGCAGGTATGTTTTGCTCACTAGCACCTGTCAGCTTCGTTGGCATGGCGACAGATGCTAGCTGCCATGCCCCCTGCTTTGTTGAACCGATTAAGCTCTCTAGCGCCATCATTGCACATCTCTGAGCGCGCACTCGTCTAGCAGAGTGCAGGAAGCCAGTAGGCACTGAATTTCGCACCAAGTCACGTTGCGTCAGGCCTCTGCCCAACCATTGCTTTGTCGGAACCCTTAACACCCTTTGGAACAGGGCAGTCAACACACATGAAGCCACCCTGGCAAATCACGACGCCAAGAGGAAAAACCCTGCCCCTTTCTGGGCACACATGTGTCCAGGCTCCTCAGGTAAGGAGCTGCCCAAACCTGAGAGGTCAGGGAAAGGTTTTGGCAGGTTTGTCTGCCGAACTCGTTCTTGTCATGTTGTGTTTTTTTTTTGTGTGTGTGTGTGTGTGTTTTTTTTTCTTTTCTCTCTGGGCTGTTC